TTTTTTTTTTAAGATTTTATTTATTTATTTGAGAGAGAGAAACCGCACGAGCTCAAGACGGTGGGGGGGGGGCGGGCGGTGCAGAGGGATGAGGGAGAAGCAGACGCCCCGCTGAGCAGGGAGCCTGACGTGGGGCTCGATCCCAGGACCCTGGGATCATGACCTGAGCTGAAGGCAGACATTTAACCACTTGAGCCACCCAGGCGCCCCGCTATGGTCTGTAACTCTTAAGTCCTTGCAAACAGTCTGGCCACATCAGTGCACACACATAAGCTCGGAAGGAGTACTTTCTAGCAAAATGAGAGCTGGGAGGAGAAGAGTGCACCTGAGTCTCCTTCTTTCACTGCGGGGTTGTCTAAAGCTGGAAAAGGCTGCAGGAGGCTTAGAGAACTCCTAAGACCATTGTGCTGTTACTGTTCTAGAAAGTTGCGCACAGTGTGTTGGTTACACAGGAATGGACTTTCTCCCGCGAGCTCTGGTTTCATGTTACCTTTCCATGTCATAGCTTTCAGTTAAGCGTTTATCAAATGACAGCAAACGAGTCTTGGGAATATCAAGAGACCCTTCCAATCCCAGTCGCCGCGGGGTTCATGTCTGAGGTGTAGCAGCCACACAGAGAAGCCCGGAGCTCCAGGACAGGTGGGGTTGCCACCTGAGTGTGCAAGGCGTGAGGTGCACAGGGGCTGGCACCGCTCCCCGGCTTCTCATCCATGGAGCTGGTTTTCTGCTGCTGAGCTTGCCCTGCTGCTTCATGCTTATTGCGCTGTTGGCTTTCTCCGAACTGGCTGGTTCATTACCACGTGAAGGTGTTTGGAGCTGAGCGTGCACACCTCAGTGCATAGCTGCAAATGGTGCAGACAGGCAGGCGTGTCACCGGGAAGCCTTATGCCTCGCAGACCCCGGCCCGCTGCAGAGGAGTTATGGGTAAACGTGGCCGCCCCTCCAACAGCGGTGGGGGAGTGAGGAGCCTTGCGGGCGATTCCCTTGCTCCCCCTGGGGAGGGGCGGGGGGCATTGCCTCCACTCCTAATGGTAACCTTTCTTTAAAAATTAATTTATTAACTGCCACCAAGTAGCTGTTCATTAGGAGTGGAGTGACGTCACCCTCACCCAGGGGCATGGACACATCATTCCAGAGAACTGGTATCTGTTCACAGAAGCATAGGGTGTGTCCTTAGGGGACTCGCTTGCATTTGCAACAGTGAGGTCCGAGATTGGTGGGTGAGGCCTTCAGGCCAGACAGGGAAAGACTGAATGGAGAGGGTCAGAGCCGTCGAGAAAGGAGGGGTGGTCGGACCGGGGCTCTAGATGAGGGCAAAAGCTTCGATCTGGCCGAGCGAGTGGGTCTGTTGGGTTCTCTTCCCCATTCCATGGCAGTCTCGGGCAGGATGGGTGCCCCGTGGCTGCCTCCCTCTGCTGCGGAGGGGGCTGTGCTTGGGAGCCCTGACTCAGTATCCTCCACCCTGAGGGAAGTCAGATGCCTCTGGGCCCTCCTGGCCGACTCAGGCATCCACCCCAGGGCTGGTCAAGACAATTCCTTTGGCGCCAGGCCTCTCTGTGCCTGCCTGGAGGGGACCACGGGCCGGTCGAGCGGGGCTGGGCCCACTGCACTTAGAGTCCTCACCTGGCCCCAGGTTGGTGTCTCCTGAGTTCTTGCTACAGCCACGTTTCTGGCTGCCTGCCTCTGGAGCATGTGGAAGCCACGCCAGGACGGGGCCAGTCTCCCCAGCCCACCCAGGTCGCGGCCACAGGCAGAAACTCTCTGGGCAGGGGCTGGGCATTCTGGGATGGGGTCTCTGGCTGCCTGGTCTGGGCCTGAGGGTTGACTGACGTTGTTGGGACAAAATCGGGGGAAGCAGTTGGGGGACAGGTGGCCAATCTAACCTCACTCCTGCTTTCAGAGTATGAGATAGAGAGGTCATTCTTTCTGCGGATGAAGTGTGTCTTGGCGAAAAGAAACGCGGGCCTGACATGCAGCGGATACAAGGTATGAGGATCCTCGTGTCGGGGGGGAGGGGAAGAAGGCGTTGGCGCTGGGTCTTCCCTGCTTTCTGTTTTGTTCCTACTGGTGAACATAGGCAGACAGCAAGCACCGGGACCCAGACATTTCCCCCTGCCTAAGGCAGAACTTTCCGGGGAGGCCGCTGGCCTCCGCTTCTGCAGCAGGTATGAGAGCTGGCATCTTACAAGGATATTCCAGGAGGGCTGGATGTCGTCAGAGGAGACCAGGAATAAACGTGGCCCAGGGTAGAATTTTCCTTTCCTGTAGGTTCCACTTTGCTCAGGTCGGTGCCATTGAAGGAGCTGCCCCTCGAGCTTACTGAGAATCCCTGTCGCGGGGTCGGCAGCGAATATTCAGAGCACAGAAACGGTGCCCCTACCCTCGAATGTTTGGCCAGATCCAGGGATGATGACTATGATGTGCTTGACTAACGATGGAACCCGTTCCGAGGGGCCACGGGCTTTCAGCAGCGGCCTCTCATCTAGTTAATTAATAGTCATGGCAGCCCTCTGAGGGGAGTATTATTGGCCCCATTTTATGATCATCTGGGACGCAAGCAGAGAAGGGAGAAGACCAGCAGGAGGCCCGCAGGCTAAGGGGCAGAGTTCCTCTCGGCTGCATTTCTCTGCCAGACCTGGCCCCCTGCTCTGGCTAGCTCCAGAATCCAGGAGTAGGTCCCCCGCAGAGCCCACGGGCGGCATGGTGCCTCAGCACCAGAATCAGCCACTCCCAGACAGAAGGGCAAGATGGGGGAAGTCTGCGCTGAGCAACCCCTTCCAAGCTTCTGTGTCCTCTCTGGAGTCTGAAGTTACTGTTTCTTCCGCCTTTGTCCTCTCTTTCTGGAATGCCTCCTCCCTACCTTCTCCCCACCCCAGGGGCTGCCTTTCCTCAGCCCCCTCCTTTGAACCCCACACTGAGCTCTTTCCTTTGACTTTACCTCACTCTGTTTTATAGTTTGGGGATACATTTCTTATTTGCTGACTCAGACTCGAAGGAGTGGAGAACTCCCAGCACTGTCCTGTACCCAACAGACTTGGGTCTTGAGTTATTTCTGTCGCTTATTAACTGTCTAATCTTAAGCAATACAGATCACCTACCTTGTCCTCAGTCTCCTCATCAGTAAGATGGGACAATAGACTGGGCGGATTTTAAGATTTATTGCAGCTCTAAAGATTGAATGAATTCAGGAGTCCTGGAGGAACGTTTTTGAAAAGAGATTTTAAGATTTTAGCTGTTCATCACTGCTGTCGTGATGATTGGGATCCTTTCGAGATTTTACTGACTCTAACTTACATAAATCCTGCCAATATTGAGGCTGAAGATTGCATAAATGTTTCCGTTTGACATTTGGAACACTATACGTTCTCTCCTGCATGGTTTTTGGCTATAACAATCAGGTTTCTATATAGCCACTCCTGCTTATTGCTTATTACAAGGGGATAAATTCTTGAGTTATAAATAAACAAAACAAAATAAAAATACATTAAAAGGAAGACTCTAGATTCTACTGAAAGAATTCTTAATTTACTGGAATGGTATAGCTTGTCAAGTGATATAAATGTCAAGTTAACAGATGTCAAATCCAGTCCCATTGGGAGGCGATGAGCATAACAGGTACCCAAGGGAACATCATGGAACCAACAGTTAGCTTCCCTTGGTGCTTTTGTTGTGCGATTTCATAGTGACTTGGTGATGAGTTAATTATGGATTATGTATTAGAGTACTAGAGTAATATTAGTATTAGTATTAGAGTATGTATTAAATCCATTATGTATTAGAGTCTTACCTTGTGGAGTTACTTGAGCAGAGTCAATTGGGTAAGACAACCCTTACATTTTATTATGATATTGTTTCCTGAGAAAGAAGCATGTTGGCCCGACAGCTCAGTAGAGGCTGGGCTGGGCATTGTCCAGCATGCTCAAGAAGGCGGGCAGGCCCCGAGCCAGGAGGAGTGGGCGCCGGTCTGACCTCCTGGGCTGCCGGCGGCTGACCCTGCCCTCTGCTTTCCCAGGTCATCCACTGCAGTGGCTACTTGAAGATCAGGCAGTATATGCTGGACATGTCCCTGTATGACTCGTGCTACCAGATCGTGGGGCTGGTGGCCGTGGGCCAGTCGCTGCCGCCCAGTGCCATCACAGAGATCAAGCTGCATAGTAACATGTTCATGTTCAGGGCCAGCCTCGACCTGAAGCTGATCTTCCTGGATTCCAGGTGAGTTTGGCACCTGATGCTCCTGCAGAGTTCCCGAAGATGCTGTCGGTGGAAACTGCCCCGAAAGCTACACTGTGAAGCCACAATGTAACGAGGAATAAGTCATACTAAGAATGCGAGTTAGGGGGACGCCTGGGTGGCTCAGTCGGTTAAGTGTCTGCCTTCCATTCAGCTCAGGTCATCGTCCCAGGGTCCTGGGATGGAGCCCCACCTTGTGCTCCCTGCTCAGCGGGGAGCCTGCTTCTCCCTCTCCCTCTGCTGCTCCCCCTGCTTGCAGGCTCTCTCTCTCTCTCAAGAATGTGAGTTAGAAAGCGATTTAGTGGAACCAGGTCATGAACTGGAAGAATTGCTATCAGCCTTAGGACTCAGGGGGTAGCCAGCTTCTCCAGGTTGTTTTATATTATTTACTTACCCCTTCATCATTTCCCTGAAGTGGGAACTGGGAATATGTGTTGTGGACACAAGTTAGCCGTTTTTGAGGGCCCACGATGTCGGGATTCTGTCTTGTATCTCCATCAAGTAGGCAGGACCTTAAAATCAAAAAGAAAGACTGTGAGTGTGGACCGTGAGGTGGGGTGGCTGCCCCCGCAGGCTGGCGGGAAGCCGTTCGGGCTGTGGCAGCCGCCAGAGCTGAGGCTGCGAGCAGGCAGGTGGCCTTCCCTGGGGAAGGCTGTGGCCACAAGCTCAGTGGGTGCCCCGTCTGGGCCTGGGCTGGGAGGGCGCCCCCTGGCGGGCGGGGAGGGCGAAGATGCAGTGGCCCCAGAACCATCTCTCTCAACTATCCTTTCGGCTCCTACTTGAGTCTGAGGATCTCGTCTCAGAGAGAGAAGGGAGAGTGAACGAGGTGGAAGCCCTGATGTGTTGTTCGCCAGGCCGGCACCGGGGAGGGGTGTGCTGGAGTAGCTGCAGCAGCCGGCTGGGCCGACCCCCAGGGCAGCCTGCAGGCTTCACCAGCCTTGAGGCCTCAGGCCTGCGGGGCTTCTTGGGGCTTCCACGTCCTCATCTGTAAAACAAGTCAGCCCCGCCCTGCCCACTCGGCTACCCACAGGCTATTAGGAAGGGGAAATTTGATCATAGACAGGAAGCATTTGTACAAGTAAAAAGCCCGATGGGCCTGCAAGGTGAGTCACTTTGCCAGGTAGCCCCCTGGAGTCCTCAGCTGTACAGGGAGGACTAAATGTTCAGAGACCCCGCTTCTGCTTTTGGGTGTGCGTGGCTAAGCTTTCTGGGAGAAAGGAGATAGATACGTCCATCTGTAAATATAAATATATATATATTTTTTTTGCTAAGATTTATAGATTTCTCCCCCCACCTTTTTTATTGTGGTAAAATATACATGACATAAAATCGGTCACTTTAACCAGTCATGGGAGAAAATCACACATACCTGGTTAGGGGCGGGAGGCGAAGACACGAATTAGCCTAGGCCATTGTTAGCACACGTCAGGACCTCAGAACCGTTCACAGGTAGAGAAATGACAAAGGTTGACATGACAGATTGGCTTTGTGCTCCCAGAAAGAGTACATATAACTCTTTGGGGGAAGGAGGCCGGCACCTCTGGGCGGCCAGACGCGGACAAATGCTGTTTTCCTGCAGCGAAGACAGACCCCTGCCCGGAGAGGGGCCCCGGGGGGCTGGGCTGCCTGGGAGTGTGGCAGAAGTGACAGCAGGCCGTGGGAAGGGGTTCTTTCTGGATTCAGGAGCCACTTGTAAGAGTGAACTGAAAGGAATTTCAGCTGTCCAAGTTCATTATTTCACACACTTGGGAGGGTCTCCCATGTTATGTCTGTCTCCTAGTTTTCCTTTGAGGGTTCTAGGAAAAGCCTCAGGGGGTCAGTGAATTCTCTAGAAGAGGAAAGAGAGAGGTCTCCCCGGAAGAAGAGATTTCAGGTCTTCTCAGATCGTTCGATGCACACAGCTTTGAAACACGAAGGACAAAAGCAGGGCTTTGCAGAAGAGGGTACTGGAGGTTAGCTGAGAGACCAGCTCATGGTGGGAGCCTCAGGCATGGACTTTCTCGAATGCCAGCGTCCCTCCACATCAGGGTGAGGGCTGGACCCCTGAGGTGAGTAGGAAAGAAAGACAGTGATCTTGAAGAAGACTCCCTGTCTCTGCAGAAGTCCACTGCTGTTCTCCCAGCTAAGTACCAGGAAGCTTCTAGCAAAGCTTCTGAACTCCAGTCATCTAGGAGATACTTAAGAGGGTCAGTGACGAGCTGGAGAATTCTTCACACTCACTCTGGTCTCCGGTCTGTTGCAGCTCGGTCTTCGATAGGCCTCTGGGCTGGGGGACAGAGGGGCCGGCCCAGGACTCAGAGGTCAGCAGGATGGCCCTGCGGGGTGGGAGATGTCAGCTCCTGGCATCCAAACCCCAGAAGCCACAGTGTGGGGTTGGCTTGAAGCCCAGCAGCCCTAGAGTCACAGGGGCCTGGGTGGTGGACCTGGGGGGTGGCCACTTGGCCCCCCACCCAGTGTAATCCCAGACACAACTGAACTCAGCATAACCTGAAATTTGGTTCATAGGGGTTTTGTGGTATTTCACTTTGAAACTGTAGCTGGTGCTTTTGCTAAGGATGGGTGAACCCAGCCGTGTTTGGGGTTTGGCAAATCCCTCTGACAGGTCTTCAGACACTGGAGGTTTGGAAAAAACCAGGAGGGCATGCTGCCAGACCCTTCTCTTTTCCCCCAATTTTTAAAACCAGCGTGTACTTTGATGAGAAACTTAATACATGTGTTGCTGATTCCTTTACACGTTCAGGGCCGTTGTTCTGTAACTTTACTTCCAAAGGGTCTGGGAAGCGTCTTTCATTCTGACACAGTAGAGATGCTGGGTTTTCTTTTTGGGGGGAAGCCAGGTCTCAGTTTTCCTGCCACACAGTTCGACTCCAGTGGGGCCTGAAGTTCTAGGTGGCCCTTAGACAAGTCGCCTGAGCCCCTAAAGGCTGTGGCATGTTCCCTTTCCCACCTACCTCCAGCCCCGTCTCCTTCCCGCCCTGATGGAACACCATGGAAATGTGTACACCAAATAGTGACCGATTCCAGGGAAATATGAGGCTCCTGGAGATTTACGACCCAAAGCCCACGCAGAACTCAACAGAAAGGGGAGCAGGTTACGGAATGAGGTCAGGTTTCCCTGTTTCATTTCCAGCCAACATTTCAGATACATGCCAGCAGGACCCCCTGTCCCGGCCCGTCCTCAGGTCCCACCTCTGCCCCCCAGGACTGCCTCCCTTCCCTTAGAATCCCTCTTGTCCTCCTCTTTCATCTGTTCTTGAATATCTGTCACCAAGACGTTTGGGCCACCTCCTCTGAGGGCACGGCTCCCAGCTCAGTGGCCCAGGGCCTGGGAAACAACACCGTTGCCGCCTGCCATTTTCACCTCCGGACGGAGCGATCCGAACACCAGTGATGATGTAGTTTTGGACTTTGAGAGCTGCTTTTCTTCAAAGAGCTGACATGGGAAATCCATATTCCTGGGGCTTGATGAGAACAGAGAGGTGGTAATGGCAGGAAAACCCCAGGAGCAGGCTGCCCTTTCGCCAGTGGACTGCAGGTTTACCTTGCAGTCACGATATTTTGGGGGGCTGTTCTACTATTTTCCGGGGCTGCGCGACCATCCTCCACTGATAGGAGGAGTCCACGTCTCCGGCTAGTCTGTAGATGCTACTGCCCAACCAGAGCATCCTGAGACCACCGTGTCCAGTGTGAGACGTCCCGGCTCACACACACAGTAGCCGGGATGCAGAAACCACCCAGGTGGCCGTCAGTGGGTGAAGGGACAAACCAAACGTGGTGTCTACACCAACAGAACATCACCCAGCCATGAAAACGAACGCTGTCCTATCACATGCTACAACATGCGTGAACCTTGAAAACATGATGCCAAGTGAAAGAAGCCAGACACAAAAGGACATGTGCCAAATCATTTCACTCCTCTGAAATATCTATTTTTTAAAATTAATTTATTTATTTGTCAGAGAGAGAGAGCACAGCAGGGGGAGTGGCAGGCAGAGGGAGAGGGAGAAGAAGACTCCCCACTGAGCAGGGAGCCCAATGCGGGACTCGATCCCAGGACCCCGGGATCATGACCCGAGCCGAAGGCAGACGCTTCACCGACTGAGCCACCCAGGCGTCCCTCTCCTATGAGCTATCTGGAATAGACAGATTCATAGAGACGGAGGGAGAGTGAAGCTTACCTGGGTGGGTGGGTGGGGAGCAATGGAGAGTTCTGGAGATGGAAAGGGTGCTGGTCACACAACGTTGTGGATGTAGTTAGGGCCACTAAATGTACACTTAAAAAGGCTAAAATGGCAAAGTTTCTGTTATGCATATTTTACCACAGTAAAAAAACCAAAGGTTCCCATTGGACCGTCACCCCAAAGCCCCTGGAGAGTGGGTCTTTCTCCCACTATCAGCGTCAAAGTTCACTGGTAAGCGCCCCCAGAGAAGCTTCACCCTGAAAAAGGAAAACACGTTAAGCCATCCCCAATGTTCTTCTAGCTGGTAGTTTCAGAAGAACATTCCCGCTCATGCATAGTGCTACCGGGCTAGAGTTCAAAGACTCTCTTCTTGTAAAAAAGATCATTCTCGGTTTCCAAAACCAACATCACCCCCCGCCCTGAGCCTTTTAGCACTTGATTAGTTGGCAAAACCAATATTAGTTTAAATGAAAGACAATCTGCAGAGCAGGGTAACCCACAGAGCCACTGTCCCCCACCCCCACCCCCAGGGTGACCGAGCTGACCGGGTATGAGCCACAGGACCTGATCGAGAAGACCCTCTACCATCACGTGCACGGCTGTGACGTCTTCCACCTCCGCTACGCACACCACCTCCGTGAGTACCGCTCACCCGCGCCAGGCTGTGGGCCGGGGCTAGCCAGGGAGGAGGTGGTCAGGACGGAGCAGGAAGGCGGCCCTTGTTTGGTACAATGGTCGCCCGTTGTGCACGCATGAATTTTAAACCCCCTGCACACTCCATCCACCCCTTGGTTAAGCACAGCTACTGGTCAGTTCTCAGACGTCCAAGCTCACCTTCAGGTGACACTCCGGCGGGTGTGGGATGGTGCTGAAGCTGCTGGATTGGAGATAGTGGATTTAGAACCTCAGTTTCTCTATGACATCTGGACACCAGTTGCAAGTGAGGGCGACCAGCAAAGAACCAACATGTACAGAGCCCTTACTACCGTCGGGCACTGATTTAAGTGATTAAATATGTTGCCAACCCAGTGAGGGAGCGTCTCATGTTCATCTCCCACTTTGACTACTGAGGAGGAGCCGAGGTTCAGAGAGGTTAAGCCACTTGCCTGGGGTCACACGGTGAGAGGCCAGCAGAGCCTGGAGCTGAAGCAGGCCGCAGCCGGCCTCTGACCCCTGTCCACCACCCGCTGGCAAGCTCAGGGGAGACCCCAGGTTCCCAGGATGGGAGAAGTCAGCATGGAAAGAGTGAATACTCAGGATTCGATTTGCCAATGCAGACAGTTGGGTGAACATCTGGATGGGGTGGGGCTGGGGCTCGAGTCACCGAAATGTTTAAAGAAGTGACACTTTTCTTCTAGAATCCAACTTGAGGCAGCAAAGAATTGGCATGGAGTGGGACACCTCATCCTCTCACAGCCCAGCCCTCCATGCCAATGGCCGGCTCAGGGGTGCTTGTTAAGGGGGTGCAGATGGGTGGAGGGGCCAGATCTTTTGCAGTGCAGCCCAGACAGCATGGCCTCCATCTTGCTTTGCTTCATGTTGACGAGAGACATTAGAGGACAAGTTGCTGGTGTCGAGCTGAGGGTGGATGGCAGGTCCAAGGACTGCTCACTCTGGCCGCATGGTCTACCTGCCCAGTCAGTGTCGACTGGGACCCGGCGGGCATGGCAGTTACTAGGGTGTCGCTGGGCAGACTCAGACAGCTTCTTCCTGCTCGCTTTTGATTCACAACAGCGAGGAAAGGTCGCTGTGCACCGCCAGACTCAGAGTTGTGAGCAGCCTTTATATCTCTTGCGTTTCGAGTAACCGAATCGTGATACAAACATCCCTGTCGTTCTTGAAAGCAGCTTGGTCAGGAAGCAACTGCTCACTGTTTGGATGGGATCTGTAGGTCAGCCTCGCTCATACGGGAGCTGGAAAACAGGGTAGGAAGTGTCAGTTACAGAATCAGTTCTTGGGGAGACTTGCCAGGCAGGGAGTAAGTGGAGAGTGCGTGCTCGGGAGTCACGAGAGCGGTCGGGAGATGAAGAGGCATCTGCTTTGAGGGTGTGGAGCAGCGTCATCACCACAGAACAATCTAGAAGGGAGGACAGGCATGAGGGCCCACACCTCCACACCGCCGGGGGGGTGAGGTGGCCCAGGAGGGACGTTCCCTGCCGCTACCTCTGCCGGTGGAGAAGGCAGGTGGCCGCTCTGAAAGCCCCCACCCCCCACGGGTCCCCAGCCCCCTTCCATGGAGGCAGGAGCTTGTCAGGAGCCCTGATATCCCCCGAATTACCTGCAGGAACAGTTGCTCCTCAATGTGGGGCTGCGCTGGAGGACATGAGGCCTCTAAGCACGGAGAATGAAAACTTACGGAATTAAGTCTTCATTTTAAATCTCATTTCTTATCGCTTGCACTGCCTGGCTGACAGAGGGAGCAGGGACTTCCCCCCACAGGGGAAATAAATACAATTTGTATTTGTATCTGGAAACGTAATAATGTAATAAAGGCCACAGTGATGATCAGCGCGAGGTTCTTGTGACCATACAGACTGGAAGCTTTTCATGTATCCATTCTGGCCTCTCGTCAGTGCGGGGAGCCAGGCGGCCCTTGTGTCCATTTCCCAGATGAGCAGGTGAGCCCCGCGGCTGGAGGCCTGTGGGAGGGCAGCAGCTGAGTCAGACAGGACTAGAGTCCAGGCCTGTTTGGCTCTCAAGCTTTGAGTGGTTTCCACCACAAGATGGCTCTTAGACGTGGAGCCTGTCTTTGCTCCATCAGGAGCCCCAATCTTCCCAAGCTCAGCCAGCTTCTGAAGGGACTTCATTTGAGAGGTCCTCTGCAATCTGCATGATAAATTCACCGTATCTCACTTGGGATTTGGTATTTCTAGACATCTCGATTATCCAAGGGAGCCCTGAAAGGGAAGACATACACAGGCTTCCAGGAGACACACGGAAAAGACAGAAGCATTTAGAAACCAGAGGGAGCGTGGTGGTTTTTTATTTTCTCCAAATGGGCTAGAATTGGTAAATCAAAGAAAATTAAATATAGCAACACTGGCAATGATTGCTACTGTGCGGTGACCTTCACTACGGTGGAGAAACACCACAGGGACTGGAGGCAGAGAGCACGGCCCAGCAGGCTGTGGGGAGACGGAGCGTGGCCTTGGGATCCGCCATGAGCCCCACGTTGGCCCCAGACTCCCCTCTGCCAGTTTTCCAGATATAAGCCAGAGGAGCACTGACATCGAGAAATAGCCGAGGCTCTTACCCACAAATAGGGGTGGGAATTAGTCTTCCAGAGCTCACACCTTGGCTCCAGGACTGGAACCATCTTTGGATGTCCCTCTCAGGAAAACCATTACTTTCCCCTCCAAAGCTGGAACTCTCAGATGAAGAAAGGGGACGTATTCAACACGCAGAGCCTGGTCTTTGGAAGCCGGGTCTTGGGTGGAGCTTGGGCGTTCTGAAACCTCTGTGTTGTGAGGTACCTGAGGCTCCAGTCTCCCCACGCACACAACTGGGGCCAGAGGGGCCAACTCCAGAAGCCGGCCCTGAGCCTAGAGTTCAAGTACAGCAATTTATTTGGACAGCGACTGAAACGTGGTTAGGGGAGAGAGAAGTAAGGCATGGAGGGGAAGGAGCCTTAAGAGGGGCTTGTCTGACTGGGCCTCAGTCATGGCGCCAAGGGGAGTGAGCTGAGGTATTTATATTCCTGCTCCTGCCAGTGGTCGGCTGAAGGCCGCTCTCGGGGACTATTAACCCCCTGCCCCCCCACATCTGTCAGAGTGGGCCCTGCCAGAGAAAGGCGTCAGGAGGGAGATGGGGCCGTCGGAAGTTGCTGGGTGCCCTCCGCAGTGAGGGCAGGGATGTGAGGAGGCATCGATCAGAGCAAAGGTCCAGAGGCCTGTGTCTCCTCAGCCTCCTCCCCTCGTTGGTCTCCAGGCTTCATGAAGGTGTTCTCCATCCAGCCCTCCCTGCACAAGCTGCTCCTCACCTCCCAGCCCAGGTGGTCGTCTTGTCCTTGCATGCATTGGTCACCTCTCTCTGAGGGGCCCTATTGCCCCCACTGCCCAGGGTCCCTGTTGGTCAGTTGGAGTGTTGTCCATATCCAAATTCCTGCCCCATGGAGGCCGGGGAAAGCCAAGCCCCCCACTCTTTCCAGTTCTGTTTTCACTCCTCACATGGTGTCATCTGCTGTCAGCTCTCCTCCGGAGGATGTGTCCAGCTCCTTCCAGCCCTACCCAAGGGCCCTAAGTTCTTGTTTCTGGAAAATGCTTTCCACCTCATGCTGTTCAGATCCTTATGGGGACTGTATTGGTCTGCTCACGCCGCCATTACAAAATACCACAGGCTGAGGGGCTTAAACAACAGAAATGTGTTTTCTCACATTTCTGGAGGCTTGAATCTGAGATCAAGGTGTCAGAAGGGCTGGTTTCTCCGGAGGCCTGTCCTTGTCTTGTAGATGGGCATCTTTTTCCTGTGGCCTCACGTGATCATCCCTGTGTGTGTGTCTGCGTCCTCATCTCTTTTTATTGTAAGGATACCGGCCATACTGGATTAGGGCCCCCCCATTACTTCATTTTATTTCAATTATTTCTTTAAAGATCTTATCTCCAAATACGGTGACATTCTGAGGTACTGTGGGACGGGACTTCCAACATATGAATTTGGGTGGAACACAGTTCAGTCCATGACAGGGACTTTCTCTCAGAGCTCTGTGTCCTTACCCAAGTAGTAGGCCCAGCTGGACAGGCCGGCTTCGGGGGGACAGGTGAGAATTCTGAGAAGGCAGGATTCGTCATTTGGAAATGTGACTTTCCAGTCCTGTCACGTGGTGCTTCAGTAACGGACGGCAGGGCTCAGGGGCCCGGCCCCAGCCTCCTGCCTTCCAGGCTTCACCTGGATCCCGGATCCACATAGTGGCCCCTGCCAACCTGGGACTCAAGTCCTTCATTCCGATCACAGCTGGAGCTGGCCCGGTTTGTTGCCCCAGGAGCTCAGGCATGCAGGGCGGCCTGTGCCACTTCCTTTCCATCCCCCACAACGGAAAGCGGCTAGAGGTGGCCAGGACTATGGTGACCCTCGGGACTCCAAGGCCACGGGGGGCGCTGGCCTCCTCTTATGGGGAGACATACAGACACATCTGTCTTCGCAGTTGATGAGGTCACTGAGCACAGGAAACATCTGCCAACACCCAGGGAGGTCACTGTCTGATTTTCCGAGGCCAGATTTTCTCCACACCAGCGTCCAAAACCCCGGAATCCCTGGAGATGGGGCGAAGGGCTCTGCCAGCAGCAGAGCTGGACATAAGGGAGTGGTGCCTCTGGAGGACCACAGTCAGCCAAATGGTTTTCACACATTGTTCAAAATATTATCTTAACCCAGAGCAGGGATCCACAGGGTCCAAAGAAAGCACAGCCCCTAAAGAAAGAGAATTCAACACCTTCCAGAAAGTCAGCTTCCTACAGAGAAGCAGGGCTGGGCAGTGCAGTCTTTGGGGAGCATGGGATTCCAGAGGTCAGCAAGACAGGGGCTAGCGTGGCCCTCGCATCCTGGCCTCTGTGTCCCTGTGGACCTGGGCCTTCCCTGCAAGTGAGACTGTGCCAGGGCTTTGCCCAGAAGCTTTTGTAAGGAAAAATGAACACGGATCCT